CGCGTCGGATCTCTTCCTCCATCACAAGATGTTCAACCAATTGACGCAAGAAGGTTCTGCGGTTTTTTACTCCGTAACCATTTTCTGTGTATATAACTTGACCATTTATACCTGCTACGTTGAGAAGGACAGAAAATGAGATAAAATATATATATTTAATTCATAAAAATATTATATCCATAATACTTGCGTCAATGGTCGCGCTGCACCAGAGGGGTGATTTGAGTGGTTCCAACTCTCCATCGACATGTTCTCAGGTCGGTTTTACACGGACGTTTGAGTAATCCAAAGTTAGGAACATAACATTAGGCTCGATCCCCGGAAAAATCTATTGACGGCAAAGGAGGTGGAAGTGCAGTAGGGATGCACCTGTGAGGTGCGCGCGACTAACGGAAGGTTAAAGGGATTTACTCATTTTTAAGATTCAGATATTTTCATTAAATTTAATTTATAGCACATAAGGCAAAGTTTTAAATAAAACTTTTTTTTAGAAAAAAAGAGTAGCACTATTAAAGCCATATATTGAAAGATAATATAAAATTGTAATAAAAAGATAGATAAATCAGTCATCTATAATCAGGCACTCTACATATTGGCAATACTATGAAGAATTTATTAAGTGACAAATAATTGATAATGAAAGATGTCAATTTCTAAGTACATTGCAATTTATTTGAGCTGAATAATAGTTACAACAATTATATAGCTTTTCTCTAATTTGATGTTTATATTAGTACAAACTATTGAAAATTATAAATCGCACTTGATCCTCTGACATTACATATCTGGAATAATAACTACAAATCTTGGAATGGTGCTTTTTCATATAAATACACTGGTACACTAGTAGGTAATATTTGATGGATACTTTTAAAATAAAATTAAACAATACATTTCAATATTTATCAAACAAGTATTGCATACATAGGTACATAATATACCTAACTAGTAAGAGTTTATATATCTTTGAAATTACATTCAATATATATTTATGTAAAGCATGTAAAAAAAAAAAAAAACTTTAAATTTTATCAATTTAGGAACATAGTTTTGGTTGATTATATTCTCATAAACTGATTTTAACAACAATAAAATAATAAAAATATGTAATAAATAAATTTTAATTCATTCTACACACTTACACATACATAAAGTTGATCAAACAAATCATCTAAGTTTAGTAATTTTTAAATGATATAAAATAAATTTTACTGTATTTGATTAAAACTAAAAAGTAATTTTGTACTTGCACAAATTAGTTTCTATTAGCATAGATTTTGTATTATAGATTAATTTTTCAAAAAAAATTTCATTCTAAAAAAATAGTGATATTCAATCTTCAGTTGCATTCAATTCAAATAATTTAGCAACCTCTGTCAAGTCATCAAAAGATTTTGCCTCATTGAGAATTTTTCTTGCTATTGCCATTTTAGAGAAAACATTCCATGTCAGAATCCCAACAATAATGTCATTTCTTAAATAAAATATAACACCCTTATCATAATTATCTTTATGATCAGGAGCTCTAGGTTTAACATCTAGAACTGATGAATTATCAATAGGTTTAATTACATTTTCATTGCCTTTTCCTACTTCACTGTCTGTATTTTCTGTTTCAACACTGGTACTGTTTGATAAATTGGAATCTTTAATAAATATTCCAACAGTAGGTAAGGAAGAATCAACAATGCCAACAGCTTCAAAACCAATATCTGGCCCTAAATCTGACCAGAACATGGACTGATGCCAATAAGGCGTGCCGCTTCCAGTCATGTTCTTTCCTGCTAACCCACCACTCACAACTGCATGGTCGTGATGCTCGACACGCCGTCTACCCAACACAATATCATAAAAGCAAGAAGCGTCTCCTGCTATCCATAGATTTTTTCGAGCTTCCATTTCTGTGTTAACCACAAATCCGCCGGTTTTTTCATCAACCTCTAGACCAGATGCTTTAGCTATTTCAGTATCTGCATCTGAACCAACGGCCACAGCTATATGATCAGCAGTAATGATTTCATCATTGCTTAAAACTAGTTTCAGTTTTTTTCCTTCTTCAGTCACAGTCTTAATGGTGACTTCAGGAATGACTTGCACGCCGTCATCTGTCATTTTCTTTGTAGTCCACTTACTTAAATACTCCGGTATATGTTTACCTAAATTACCAGTCTCTGGAAACAACTGAATCACTTTGAATTTATTCAAACCACGTCTTTTAGATATTCCACAAGCAAGTTCGCTTCCTAAAAATCCTCCACCAACTATTACAATCGAATCAGATTTTTTGCATATTTTATCTAGCTTTTTGAAGTCATGCACTGTTCTAAAAAAGGAAACATGTTTTTTGATAGAGCTATCAGCAGTTTCAAAAAGGGGAATATTTTTAGGTTTTGAACCTGTTGCGATAAGACATTTTTCATAAGTGATTTCGCCTCCATTGTTTAAATACACAGTCTGGGAAACTGGATCAATTTTAATTACTTTAGTGCCACGAATCACAGCAACGCCACCATTCTTTCGCTCAAGGACTTCTTTCAATGGAAAATAATATTCAGGTGGTTCATAAAGCAAACTTCGGCTTCTGCCATCCCATTGAGTGAAGCTTAGACTATCAGCATTTTTTTCATTAGGATCAAACCACATTTCTTTAGAAAGAGGTGGTCGCATATATGGATGAAATGCCTCCTCACCAATCATCAAAATTTTTGCATTAGGATCTTCAGTGCGTATAGCTCTGTATGCCGCAAAGGATGCTGATCCAGCACCTATTAGCAAATATGGTATTTTCCCATACTCTTTGAGTAAGGCTAAATCTTCGTCTAAATGCTCATATACAAAAGGTGGCTCACCAGAAACACCCTCATCTTCTGTGGTATCAAAGGTATCACTTTTACTGAAATAAGAGTATGCACCAATCACTCCTCCAACAATTGCTGTCCCTATTAATATTGGCACAGCTTTCGAAGATGTAGTTTTAGTCGAGCCTAAGTTTCTGTGAATTGAATCGTTTTTAAAAACTCGGTTTTTCAAAAAGTTATTAAGTGATTTACGATTAAACTTGTGAGAAAAATTCCTAGAAATTGATGTCACATCGACACCTCTCACTGTTTTAAATAGCATCAAGTGCCTAGATAGCATTGTTTTACCAAAAAGTTATGAAACTTTTAACAGATGAAATTTATTTAAGTACTATACAGCCTACAAAATTAATGAAATATGTATCAGCAATTCAGGAAAGAGGCTATATAAGACAAACAAAATTTTAGTTTCATGCTCTCCTAGTTTGAACTTTTGAGTTTATTCTATTTTATTTTTTATATACATCTAGATTGACATTCAAAATGATTTACGAACAAGATATGGATCGATCGAACCGGAATTTTTGATATTGATTGATTAAAATTAAAATTCTGCAATGGAATCTAATCGATTTTTACTAGCTTCATCTCTATTGATTTTTTAAAAGGCTATTTTTACTGCAATCATTTCTTTTACGCAAGTGAGAATAACCTTTAATATTTTTTATTTGTGTTATAGAACAAAATTGGCAACAGTTAGTTTTAAATGTTATTGTTTACATTTTACATGCATGCGAGGAACATCCAACACTACAAAGAATCAAATTAGATTTTAAAAAACTAAGAAGGATAAAATAAATTTACTAATAAAGTGAAATCTGCTATCATTAAAAATGGAATCTGAAGATGCTTTGATGGAAATAATTGTTGGGACGTATGAGAAGTTTCTCGTCGGCTACATTTTGAAAATGCATGACGATGTAATGTATACGAAACAGCTTTTTTTGCCACAATTAAAATATTATTTACGATTTTTTTTTTCCAGATGATTATTGTTTTTGTATGGAATCAATCTGATTGCTGACATTATTAATATTTAAAAAGAATCAGAAATATATGGGGCGGTTTAGGTTTAGTTATTCCAAGTAAATTGTTCTATACTATGGATGAATGACGAATTTTTTTTAAAAAATCACGAACCCTGGTCTAAGATTTAAACCATGACATGTTCTGTATTGTTTTATATACAATTAAGCTGAAATTTAAGATAGTTCTAATAAAGATGCTTTGTTTGTAGATAACAATTCTGATTTACCAATCAGTATCTAATTTTTTAACTCTGCTATTGGCTACATTTTTTTTTCTCCACCTTTTACAGAAATTTTCATTAACTCCAAGTTTTGCTACAGAAGCTCATTTACAATGTATCAAGTGTGTTGCATCTTCAAACAAATATTTAGTATCTGGAAGCACAGATGAAACCATTCAGCTTTTCAATATGAAGACACGAAAAGAAATTGGTGCATTAGTGCATCATAATGGTATGATGGTTTTATTAAAAATATTACTTTAAAGATTAACAGTTATAGCAATAGCCCTATTATTCAAAAGGAATTTATGCATTAGTGCATAAATAATGATTTATTTAGTATATTACTTTGAAAGATATAAAAAAATTTATTATTAAATTTGCATCAGCATCATTATTTTATTAGTTCATGGTGCGTAGCGTTTTTAAAAAGTGCTTAAAGGTGCTTATTTTTGTTTTTTTAAAACCCTTAACGGTGCTTTTTTCATTGGGTGTTTTTAAGTAGTGCTTAATTTTCCCTCTTCGAAATTGAGATTTTCTCTTTACCAAGTCGATTTTCACCATGTGTTACACAAAAGCATGCTTTTTACATTGTTTTATTCAACGTTTTCACAATCCATTTCGGCGTACCATCAAACCATAGTGTACGAAAGCGGCAATCATTAAAGTTTTTGAAAATTATTTTGCATTTTGTTAATGTATAGAGTTCTTTAAAAAAATTTTGAGTTTTTAAAAGGTGCTCATTTTTTGTTGAAAGATTTGGCTGCGCACCCTGTAGTTATAATCAACCTTATTGCACTAACTATAATTCTATTTTGTTTATTTTTCTTTGATATTTATTGTTACAATCTTAGTTTCAGTTTTTTTTTTTTTTATTTATTTATTTACGTGACATTATCTTTATTCAAATTGTGTGTATAATTATGCATATTATTAAATAATGTCAAAATACATGAATAAAATATCAAATACGTAAATAAAAAAAATCTTAAATAAATAAGTTTGCTTCATTTGTTATAATGTGTGTGTGTGTGTTTTTTTTAACTCCAATTTTATTTCTGCTTAATAATTATTCATTTCAACTTTGTAACCTTAAATTCAATTTGTTTTATTTATATTGTCCCAGTTTGAAAATGTACACAAATTATGGAACAATTTATTTTTAATTGTAATAATCCTAACCAAGAAGTGCGTAAAAAAGATATCCAGTTGTATTAGAATAACTTTTGCTGATGTACAATGTATACAATTGAATTCGAGTGATAAAATAAATGTAGAGTTTTACTGAATTAAATAAATTTGTTTGAATTAATATTAAAAATTTACTTTCATTGATTTTATTTATTTATTTAAAGGAAACTAATTATGAACCCCTGGTAATCAGTTTTTGTTAAGATTTCATGTTTGCTTATTGATTAACTATTAATGTTTTTTTCTCAAATGAAAGTAAAGGATTTTTTACTTGTATATTATAATTTCATCTTGAACCAATAAGGTGAACAGGGGTGTGTCTAAATTTTTGCAGCCTCATCAAACAGGGTTCCCGCGGCCTTGAAAAAGCCTTGAAAAGTACTTGAATTTCATTTTGATTTTCAAGGGCCCCTAGAAGTACTTGAAAATGATATTAAATCCTTGAAAATTTCGAAATGACCTTGAAAAGTATAGAAAACTCAGGAAAACAGCCCTATTTCCAGTATTTCTATGTTTAACTTTTTGACGCGCGTAAGTGTGAGAGAATGACTTCCCCGTCTTTCTGATGATGACACGTACTGTTTGATTTTAGGATTTTATGTGCGTTTGGCGGATTTTAGGAATTTTAAATATTGGGAACTGTGCCAGATTCTGACAAAATCTCGATTCTTATTCAGGCGATTTTAATATCAATCATCGATCTTCGTATTAGACTTATTTAAAAATTATGTGTTGCAGGGATGAAAGACTTCCACGAAAAAGCGGAAATCCGCTTTTTTCCCCCAATTTTGAAA